CGGGTGGGGGCTCTAAATGACAATAGTAATATTGGTTAGATTATAGTTTCTATGGTTTATGGTTCTAAGGTGCCGCTTAAGAATGTAGTTCACATTTTTCTCAGGCAAACTGGCACATGTGTGCCCCACTTCTGCCCAAATTAGGGGCCTCTAAATTGCACATGGGTGGTCTGTGCTTTATAGTATGTTTATTTTAGGGATTGATTGATAGCATTGATGACATCACCAGTCGTGCAGTATGGGATTCTAATACATACAGGATTAATCATTAAATTGAGAATCCAAGGTAAACTCAAACTGAATTTGAAATGTAAGACAAGAGTAGCTTAATAGAAAGCATAGCTAACTTATATATTATTATATTTTATTCTTATTTGTAAATTTTATAATTATTTTATATATATCACATTAAATTTCCAATTAGTCTGCCTTGACATTAAATTTGAAATTCACTTTGAATTCTTACTTTAAAGAATAACCCTGACAATCTGACCATTGAAATAATGGACAAAACATATATATATATATATATATATATATATAGATTATATAAATGTTATATAAACATTTATAAAGTATATATAAATGTTGTTTTGTTTTTTTACTGCATTATTCTGAATACGCGAACGGACTGTTTTAGAAAGACTTGAACAATATCATAATAGTATATTTGATATCTGGAAATCTTTTTGAGGTTTTTAGAACTATTCAGCCAATAGAGGAGCAGATAAAATAACCATGTGATATCAAAAGAAGACAACAGAAAACATTAAAGAACTGTTAATAGCCTACTGCAATTTAGCAACATGTGAAACTCCCATGGTTCTTTAACAATTTGTGTTCAATTACTGTAGTGAAGTGCAAAGCTTCTTGTTTATAGGATCCTGGATGATGGCACAAAAAAGATAATTTATCTAACAGCTGTATTATTGCCCATGCACAGCAAGACAAATTGTAGAGGTGTTACAAATATCCTGGGGCTATAGTGTTTTCTTTTTGTGTTTATTTTTTTTGGGGTGGTGAAGTTCCCTTAATATCTTCTTTTCCCTAATGACTTTGATTAACGTAGCAATTAACTCAAACATCCACAAAAATTTCAAATTAAAGAATTCTATTTTTTTTCACTAAAATATACACTAATGTTTTAAAGGACCACTATAGGTAGCCAGGCCACTTCAGCTCAATGAAGTGGTCTGGGTGCCAGGTCCATCTAGGATTAACCCTGCCTGCTGTAAACATAGCAGTTTCAGAGAATCTGCTATGTTTACATTAGGGTTAATCCAGCCTCTAGTGGCTGTCTCATTGACAGCCGCTAGATGCGCTTCAGCGCTTCTCACTGTGATTTTCACAGTGAGAAGACGCCAGCGTCCATAGGAAAGCATTGAGAATGCTTTCCTATGGACTGACTGAATGCGCGCGCGGCTCTTGCCATGCATGTGCATTCTGCTGATGACGTTGGTAGAGGGACGAGAGTCCCCAGCGCCAAGGGAGCCTGGCGGGAGGGGGGCGATGAGGGTTGGGGGGGACCCATTAACACTATAGTGCCAGGAAAATGAGTTTGTTTTCCTGGCACTATAGTGGTCCTTTAATTTTCAAGTCTTTCAGTTACACAATTCTTTGAGCTAGATGTTTGGTTAAGAAATGTATAGATGGGCAGATGTAATAAAAACACAATGTATTCTTGTTCCAGTCTGGATATTGCTGCAGGGAGGTTCCACACCTACATCTCACCTAACATCCTATATCTGATCTGTCTTTTAATGCTTTGCTTTTGGGATGCAGAGATGTTCTATGAAGAGCAGGTATCCCAGCCTCAAAACTGAATATCTGGTAAACAATTGCATAAGAGAGGAAAAGCACAAAAGTAATGTTAAAGAACATAATCTACAGAATCAAAACTATTCTTGGAACAAATCAAATCCACCAAGTGGATAAAAATAAACTAAAATGTTATGTCTAACTATCTCTCTTTAAATCTAGAAAAGTTAAAAAAAAAAAAAAATGCTGTAAATTGTTCCCGTTTATCTGCTTTTGCAAAATAACAGTACTTTACCTCTTTTGAAATATAATCATGAGTTAGTGCCACACAGAGCAAGCAGAATAGCTTTTCTCTCTCACAGGGGCCTAGGGTTAAGGTAGAGTGAGATTAAATAGCCCAGAAAATAGCAGTAAAATAGCTGAATCCACTAATTCTCTGCCAAAAAAGCACTGTGTAAGAGCATCAAACAAAGACATCTAGGTAACACTGTGTCAGGTATACAAAACTGGTGTTTACGTATCACAAACAGACGGGCATCTCACTGAGGCTACAACAATAGACAATTTGCACGTGGGAGATAATGACAGTCCAAATGTATAGCAGGAATCCTCGTGTTTCTGTGGCAATTGTGCAAACATGGCAGTAATACTCTAGTTTGATAGAGAGTAGGAAGATTTGGTGTTTTTCACATAAGGGATTAAGCACAATAATGTAGGGCTATTCGAATGATAAATCCAGGCCTGTGTTTAAAAAACAGAAAAGTGACAAGCACTCAGTCCGTTAAGAGCAGCATTGTAAAAGAAAATTTTCTATTGATTATCACTTTGCACTGACACATCAAGGAATGCAGAGAGAAACACGCTACTGAGCCAAACACATTAGTACCCTTGAATTCACTCACAGGACAGTGGTGAATTCTTCAGACTTTACGTTTCTTTGCTTACTTTAACCAGAAAGCTACTTGGCATAAGTAGTTGCATAGAAAACATTCAATTTCCAATAAACATCTCCCTGTTAGTCAATCCTCTTCTTAAGAAGTGCTGTGGTTAAAAGGATGGGATAGATTGTATATTTTCGACCACATGGAAACTTCGAGGATGATAAAATGGACCACTTGACATTACCTTTAGTCCTGTAGCACATTTAGAATTAAAAGCCTACGTTAATTTATGGAACCTCACCATCAAGCCAGCGATCAATTGCTCTCAGAATTAATATAATCATTCTAAGCCCCTTTTTATTTTTTTTAGGATCAAGTTACTGCTACAGGAGAAGAAAGCAACAGAAAACAAATAAAGTAAACATATATAATTATCATCACTAACAATTCGACGAACTCTCAGGAACTGGCTATATGGGATAGAACAAATCTGCTTAGGAGCATGGAAACTATTCGTATGCAGCAGACTATTAGAATCTGTAGGTTTAGTATATAAATCAGTGCACATGGATCTATATGCTTACCAACTAGTACATCCAAAAAACCAACAGCCACAGTGCTGGTAGTGTTAGTAAACCAGATATCCCTATGGCACTGATTTAAAAAAGCAAGAAATGCATCAAGATCAGTCTGGATACCATACCAGAGTAAAAAGCAGTCAACAATGTACCTTAACCACTTCCTGGAATGCAAAATAAAAAGCTTGTGCTGGTAATCAAACCATTCTTCAAAATCAGTCATAAAAAGGTTTGCATACGAATGAGCCATATTGGCCCCCATTGCAGTGAATTTAACTTGTTCATAAATTATTGACAAGTACCGGAAGCAATTTTTTCTCAGAAAAATCCCAAGCAGTTTAATTACAAAATTGCACAAGTTCATGTCTACAAGAACAGAGGAGAGATTGTCACGTATTATCCTCAGACCTTCGTCGTGGGGTATAGAGGTATAGAGACTCTACACATCTAGTGTCACCGGTAAGTCTGTAGGGTCAGCAGGTAGACAGCAATTTTTTTGTAAAAAATATTTAGTGTCTTTAATATAAGACATGCCAGAAGTCACTAGTGGTTGTAGAAACTGGTCTACAAAAATAGCTAAAGGCTGAACAAATTAATCTGTCCCAGCCACAATGGGACGACCAGGGGGATAGAGCGCATCTTTATGGACCTTTGGCAATGTATAAAAGACAGGTGTTCTGGGGAACTTGTTAATCAGGAAAACCGATTGTGAATTTGTAATTATTTCCTCTTGGAGAGCCCCCTCTACTACAGTTTGAATTATCTTAGCCACATGTGCTGTAGGGTCAATTTTTTAGGACCTTATAATTAGTTCTCTAACCCAACTGTCTCATAATCTCTTTATGGTAATACTGTTTATCCTGAATCACAATCTTTGTCGGTGGGTTTGTCTATGATATCTGGATTTTGTGCAATTTCATTCAGGGCAGTTTTTTCCTGAAACGTTAAATTATACGTAATACCTTGCTGCTGCCAGGGCAATTTTTCTACCTCAGAGCTAACTATATTACAGAATGTTTGAATAGAGTGATTTGGAACAATTGTAAAGAATGCAACTACAGAAAGATAAGTCCTGCGCTCACTCCCATCACTCCTGGGCGGCAGCAACGACTACAGTACACATCAGCCCCAATATATAGTAAAAACCAAAGAAAAAAAGTTACCTGCGCTTTCTCCTTAATCCCTATGTATATTTAGACAAATGGAGGTCATTTAGTTACACTGACCCTTCACCTTGCTTCCTTGAGCTTCTGGCAAAGATATCTCTAATGAGACCGAGTTAATAAATATATAGGGGTGTATATAAAAAATACCCATCTCTGTCTCATTAGAGATATCTTTGCCAGAAAGTCAAGGAAGCAGGCTGAAGGGTCAGTGTTGGGATCCGCTTAGGGGGGTCTGCCTTGACCTTGGCAGGCGGCCATTCTCTCCAATGGCCATTGGAGCAACTAAATGACCTCCATTTGTTTAAATATACATAGGGATTAAGGAGAAAGCGCAGGTAACTGGAAAGAATGTGCTTTTCTTTTTACAAACCTCCAGATTGAATGTATAGTTAGACGATGTGCCCGCTGGGATTTCATCTCTTGGATGAGGGCTGTCTTGCTGGCATTGGGGTTGCTGACCTGAAAAAAAAGGTACGTAAATTACTTAAGCGAAATAATTTTTGTAAATCAGTTTTACAAGAGAACAAGTCAGATTTAAAAGACAGTACAAAATTGAAAACTATGCTTAATGCTGACATTTGAACAGTAGTTAGCACAGTATTTGATAGATATAATACCCCTTGTCCTTGTGGCTTTTTTTGAGGGTCTCGCTGCGAGTCTGCAGCCTGTCTTTTTTTGCCTGGAGTGTCCCCTGTTGCCCCTTCTTGTGTGGAAGGAACCCCTAAAAAAGGACGTGTGGTGGTGCTGGTAGAAGAGGCATCTGAGTCGGATCCAGTTGTAAAGGTTTCCCATGAAGAGGTACGTGTTTGTTTTCGTTGGGACTCGGGTCTTGTTTGTTGCTTCCATGTATATACACGGTTAAATTGATAGTCCAGAGTATCCCTTTTAAATTTCCAAATTTTCACCACTTGCAATTCCTTGCGTAGTTTAGATACAGACACTGCAATTTCTTGAGTGATCTTTTGCAGTCTCTCAGCTTCAATTTGTGCAGATATGTGATAAATGACATTTCGTTTTTTTTGTGTTATAATCTTGTCCAATTCCTCATGCAAGCTCTCCACTGTTAGAGCAATCAAATCCAGTGCACATTTGTTCAGTATCTTATACCTCCTTTTCGTGTGGTTAGTATTATCTTTACACAGTGTAGGTATAAGGGAAACCCTTAGACCTCTTCGAATGCGTCTTGCTCTAAGGTATTCAACCAGAGTAGTCTGGTGTAATTTATAATTAATTTATTTTCTTGACAGTGCTTCCAATCTCCGTGTTTGACCCAAGGAATCAGACTCTCTTAAAAATGCACTACTGTCATCAGAGGCATTGGCACTAATAATAGACTCCAAATGCTGTCGAGTGTACGCAAAGACGTCAGCCTAATTACTAGTCAAACTGGCAATATCGGCAAATGACATAATTGTCAGACAATGCAAAATAGAAAAAACATAAGAAAATACCTCAAAAAATGAAACTAGTATGCAGTGTATACAGAATACACTATAGTGATCACTATATATAGTGTGAGGTAGAGGCAAAAAATGCCTACAAAATTCAAAGTATAAACAAAGAAAAATTGGACCAGGCCCTGGGGAGATAGCGCAGAGGACAAGGGCACATGTATGAGTGTGGGGATAGATCTGGGGGTTTGGTTGGGTATGAATGTGTTGGTGGGATTATGTTCTGTGTGTTAGTGGGTGGTCTTACCTCAGTGCCACTTGGGATTCGGGCCACAAACAGCTTCCCTCCCGCCTGCCCCATTAGTATATACATTTGTGTGTTGTTTTGATTGATTAAAATGCTGCCTTGCTATTATTTCCAGACTTTTTAAAAAGTTTTTTTTGTTTTGTTTTTGTTTCTGAAGGTGATGAAATCATCACGCACATTTCTGCCGATCCAGGAAGTGATTGGAATCATCAAACATGCCAGAGTGATGGAATGTACTGCACATCGGATCCTGCTTCTAGATTTGATTACCTGGGGGTGGCACTTTTGGGTTATGTAAGCACTATTTTTTGTATATATTGTTGTTATCTTGCATATACTGTAGGACATTAGCATTGAGAAAGGGCTGCTGCCCGAAACATTTGTTTTTTTAACTTTGTCCTCAAATAAATTGTGGTAGCACCTGGGTGTGCATACCTATACTGGATGCGCAGGACTATTGTTTGTTTTTTGGTTACATTTACAATCACAAGTTTGATGATCTCAGCCAAGGGGGCAGAGCGGGGATGGGGACAGCTATTAAGAGACCCACGCAGCCCAGTTATAATTCATCTTTTTAAGGGGGGACAAGAGGGGCCAGCCAACTAAATGCCACTATTAGAATTATATTGTCAGGAATACACGTTTTTTTCCTGACACTATAGTGTTGCCTTAAGAAGTAAGACAAGGGTACCATGTTTACATAAGATAGAAGTCATTCTAGGCAGAGGTGAAGAATTAAAATCTGTGGAGAAGACTGAAGCAAGAGTTGAATGAAATAAGAGAAGCTTAGACTGGGTGGGTTTTTGGAATAAAATATAATCTGATTTTGGATCAAAAGTGACCGTTACTTTACTTTTAAAAGAGAATAATTTCATTATTTATATTTCTACCATCCTCTGGTGGGCCATTCACCCGGCATTTCATAGCCACTAATGCTGTCAGTTTCATAGCCAGTAATACTGTCTGACTCTCTTGTAACAATGTTAAAATTAGTAGGTGAGCACAGGCTTGTCACATTACTGAACAAGCATTAGGCCAGAAAAACATCCTCTCACACTCGGAATCCTCATTTCCCATGTGTAAATGAATGCACATTATCTCTTTAACCAAGGACCATGAATTTTTTATGTGGGTTACATCTCACTTTGAACGCAAATAATGAGGAACAATAGGACCTCATTAATAATCAAGAAGTATATTCTAGGGAATAGAAATGTACACTTGTTTTAATCTTGTTGGAAATAATACAAATTTTCAACCGGCAAGAGAGATTACTTATTAATGGAAAAAGATTTAACGCTTTGTTTATTCTTGACTATTTTAGAACTATCGATGAATGAGCAATGCGAGATGTGAAAAGAATCTGAGGACAATAAATATCCAGCACTTGTGAAGCAATATTTTGGTGTAAATGTAGTTTTCATATGCATTACAAATGCAAATATATTCTATCCCCATTTTTTCCATTTAACATTGAAAGATTTGGTGATATCAATGACTTATTCAAATTAACAAAATGCACTCTACTGTGGTTGATGGGAATAATTTATCTCATCCAGTATGAAACCACCCATTCACCACAAAGTTGGAGAAATAGTTCTTAACTCTAAGTCACCTTCAACCAATCCTCCTAAAATAAGGTGCAGGTTTAACAAGTCACTAGAACTATGAGAACTGTACAACAGATAATGACCTTCTGCAGTAATGAGGACATTTACATTGACCCTCAAAGAGTGCCTGGAGTTTAATCTCACAAGGACAGTTTGAGAAAGTTTTTTTTATAGGGTCTAGGTCCATGTTAGAGAACCTTCTAAAGTGTGAAGATTGTTAAAGTCAGTCCATCTGTTAAACGCTACAATTGTTCCAGGCCGAGGGTTTTTTTTTTTCTTCATTTGTTATCAACAGGGGCCTTGCTACCGTCAAAAAACATTCAGGACTTGACCCAATTTGGGGTCATCCTAACACAATTTGGATTAACCCAAAATACAATTTGACCCATATCTTCCAAACTCTATCTACAAGATTGACACACTCTTTACACGCTCACAGTTATTTACACAAAATTACTTACAGATGCACACAGATTCACACACATATGCACAGACAAAAAAAAGGCAATCAGACACACAAACACACATGCATACACATAGAAACATAGAATATGAAGGCACATAAGAACCATCTGGTCTGCCCAATTTTCGAAAAACTTTCATTAGTCCCTGGCCTTATCTTATAGCTAGGATAACTTTATGCCAATCCCACGCATGCTTAAACTCCTTTACTGTATTAACCTCTCCCACTTCAACGGAAAGCCTATTCCATGCATCCACTACCCTCTCGGTAAAGTACTACTTTCTGATATTGCTTTTAAACCTTTGCCCCTCTAATTTAAGACTTCTTGTTGTGGTCGTTTTTCTTTTTTTAAATATAGTCTCCTCCTTTACTGTGTTGATTCCCTTTATGCATTTAAATGTTTCTATCATATCCCCCCTGTCTTGTCTTTCCTCCAAGCTATACATGTTAAGATCCTCTAACTTTTCCTTGTAAGTTTTATCCTGCAATCTATGCATCTGTTTAGGAGCCTTTCTCTGAACTCTCTCCAAAGTATCAATATCCTTCTGGAGATACGGTCTCCAGTATTGCGTACAATACTCCAAGTGAGTCTCACCAGTCTCACCAGTGTTCTGTACAATGGCATGAGCACTTTCCTCATTCTACTGCTAATACCTCTCCCTATACAACCAAGCATTCTGCTAGCATTTCCTGCTGCTCTATTACATTGTCTGCCTACCTTTAAGTCATCTGAAATAATTACCCCTAAATCCCTTTCCTCAGATGTTGAGGTTAGGACTCTATCACATATTCTGTACTCTGCCCTTGGGTTTTTACGTCAAAGATGCATTATCTTTCACTTATCTATATTAAATGTCATTTGCCACAACTCTGGACATTCTTCTAGTTTACCTAAATCATTTGCCATTTGGCTGAGCCCTCCTGAAACATCAACCCTGTTGCAAATCTTAGTATCATCAGCAAAAATACATACCTTACCATCACGACCTTCTGCAATATCACTAATAAAACTATTAAAGAGAACGGGTCCAAGTACAGACCCCTGAGGTACCCAACCGGTGACTTCGAATATACTCCATTGACTACAACCATCTGTTGCCTGTCACTCAGTCACTGCCTTGCCCATTCAACACTAATGGAATCCAAACTTAAAGATTGCAGTTTATTGATAAGCCTTCTATGTGCAACAGTGTCAAAAGCCTTATTGAAATCTAGGTAAGCAATGTCTACTGCACCACCCTGATCTATTATTTTAATTACCCAATTAAAAGCACCCAAGCACACAGAGTCACAGACAGACACAAAAGACATGATCAGTCACTGATAGACACGGGCAGTTACAGACGTTTACAGTCAATTACAGACACAGACACAGAGACACACAGAGACAGGCATGCATCCACATAATAAAAAAGGATACTGGCTCCCTTACCAGTACCTTCAATGTTATCTTCATGCATATGGCGAGGGGGAGGCTGAATACTGACTATGTAACTTCTATCAGTGCCAGCGACTGCATGCTCTTTGTCTTTAGGATGCAGGTTTAAAGAGAGCAAGCAGTGTGCTTCTGGCCACTTTCCCCCATTCTTCTGCTCTGTGCTCTTCCTCCTGACCTGTGAGTTTCAACTCGGACCGGATGCAGCACAGTAATAGAGACATATAGTAAATATGATAAAATGTCATATTCCCTGTATCTCCATAACGGTGCTGCTGCTACAACCTGGCCGACTCCAGACCTGGTAGGTAGAACAGGGCAGGGATCACAGAGTAGGGAGCAGACAACAACTTCTGGCCCTACATTTAGATCTGGAGCAATGTAGGAACCACTTGTCAGTTTAGTTTTACTCAGTTTTAATGTGGTTTTATAGATCCCACAGGTTTTTTTTTTTTTTAAAACAGATATAATTATTGATTTGTTGTAGAGAAAGACAATCTCTCTCTGGTTTAAAGCTGAGGTCTCATAGGCCCCAGCATTTTAAACTTAATCAGTTTACTTTCACTTTTGGAGGCACGGAGTAAAGTACATTATGCTACTCTCTGCTGTGGCACT